GTTTTGATTAGGGGTCTATAGTCCAACAAGTGGGACAGGGGATTGTAGGTGTATTGCTTGATTGTTCTACCCCTGTTCCCACTCTCCCTACCCCCCGTGTTCTGTGATTACCGGGACTTCTCAAGTACCGCATCGGTTCAGACTGATGTCGACGGAACAGGACACCGGGGCACTGCCACGACGCAGTGCCAGAATCGCAGTTCGTGCCCGCCCTGCAGTACCTCCAAGACCGAAGAAACTCAGCAGGCGGACGACTCCAGCAGCATCAAGTACGGCATTGACGGTACAAGACGCCACCGGAGATCATCCCGCATACCCAGTCCGAGGAGCCAATGAGCCAGCGGCTCATTATCGTGGGCGGCTACTGGCATTTACGGAAGCTGTAGCTGCCGCCGAGGCCCGGAAGGAGACAGCAGAGGCAGAACGTCAGCGGCTAGCCAATGAAGCGGCAGCCGAAGCTCAACGAACGACTGAGACTGACGCAGAGACACGAGACAGACGGAATGCCAGCAGCACGGAGTCCTTGATTGCTTGTGAGCATCAGTGGACGACGATACTCCAAGACATGATCTTTGTGCCTACGGAAGCGCAGGCAGACCCGACACCGGCGGAGGCAGAGAGAAGTAACCTGGCTAACTTGCTGCAGGGCATGATGAGAGGTATTATGTGGAATAATACACTGCTGCATTCACATCTGCGCACGGACGCGACGCAACGACAAACATACAAGAACAATATGACTGCGTTAACAACTGCTATCCGCACAGAGGCAACGCAGCAGCAGCAACAGCATCATCTGTTGAATTCCACTATCACACGCGTCAACAGCATAGAAGCTAACGCCTCAGCAGCGCCAGGCTGCACGACAGACGTGACGAAGCAACTCAACGAGCGCATCGATCACGTCGTCACCATCATCGGCGACATAAGTACTTTCAACGGACCAGACTCGATCAGCAGCACGATGGCCGCCATCAAGACGGACATCACCAAGCTACAGACGAGACCGGAAGCCGCTACAAAGACGTTCAAGATGCCGCACTTCGACATCAGCAAGTTCGATGATTACAACAAGTCGGACGCCTTGTCATGGTGGCAACGCTTCCTCACGGAAGCATCATGCCGCATGGTCCCGGCGGACGACATGTTGAAGGCAATATATTTGCAGCTGATTGGAGGAGCGCAGGGATGGATGAACCACCTAGCGGCTACACACAAGTGCACTATCGCCGAACTCCACACTCACATTACGTGGAAGGAGTTCGAGCAGCTATGGTTCACGAGATTCATGGTCCGCAACGTCGTGAAGATGGGCATGAACGAGGTCTACACATGCTCTCAAGGGAACATGCCAACGCGAGACTGGGCATCAAAATGACAGAAGATAGTGACCACGCCAGGCTTCGACTTGACGTTCCCTAATCAACTATCCGAGTTCTTCTCGAGATCGTGCGCAGGATTGCGGTCGGCACTCGACAACAAGTACGACTATACTACGTTCCAGGCCATTCTGGATAGAACGAACTTAGTCATCCAAACGGACGACAAGGCCGCTAACGAGAGGCAATCCCAGCCGCATTATGTGGCTAAACAGGCCTATCAACGTTCGGCACATAACAATGCCGTTTTTTCTGAGGAAATCGACGACCACCACGCTGCGGCAGCATCCTCGAGTGATGGAGGAATGGTCGCAGCGCTCCCGCCGAAGCGTCCGAAGAGAGTTCGCAAGAACAAGGCGACACAAGAGACAGCGGCGACGGGAGCTGGGCAGCAGCCATGGACGGCTTATAAGATCACCAAGGAGGTCTATGACCTTCGTCAAAAGTACGCATACTGCCTATGGTGCAACAGTGTAGTACACACTACTGCACAATGCCCGGACAAGGGCAAGGCACGCGTACCCCGTCCAGCCAACTCGGGAAACTGAGTTACGCAAGGAGAGGGGCTACGTCTCTCCTCACTCCGCCGGACCCGGTTGCCTTGCTAGCAATCGATGTCACTACCGGGGAGCATGCGTTAGTCGCTGATCCTCGTGCTACGTACGAGGATTATGCCGCCCAGCTGGTACCACCATTAGACGAGCCTAGCCACGTGCATGTAGATTGCGTATGCGCAACCTGTACACCGTCGGCAAGTGATCCGGTCAGTTCGCCACTGATTTCCGAGGACTCGACGATGTGGTCAAGACTTGAGGAGCTTGACCCGCTCACGAGAGAGGACTTCGCCTGGATGCCTCTACCCTCGACCGGAACCTTGCCAAGGCCGCATTGCAACGCCTTGATGGCAAATATACGCTTCTACTTGCACACTACAGTACCAGCTCCGTTGACGGACGACGGGGTAGCGGTTGCCGATCTCCGC